AACAGATGAATGGATCAAGAAGATGTGGTTTATCTATACCATGGAATACTACATGGCAATGAGAAACAATGAAATCTGGCCATGTGTAGCAACGTGGATGGACCTTGAGGGTGTTAGGCTGAGCGAAATAAGTCAGGCAGAGAAGGACAAATACCATATGTTTGCACATATAGGAGGATTAGGAGGAACTTGATGGAGGAACAAGGGGGAGAAGAAGGGGGGGAATGACGGGGGAAAGGGAGAGAGGCAAACCATGAGAGACTCTTGAATGCTGATGAAAACTGAGGATTGATGGATGTGGGGGGGAGGAGAGATGGGCATGGAATAGGGCACTTGTGGGGATGAGCACTGAGTATAGAAACTAATTTGACAGTAAACTATTTGTAAAAAAAAAAAAAAAAAAGACAATGGTCTTGTTTCCTTTGTATAAAGACCTCAAAGAACTGAGTCTGCTGGATCCTTTGGTGGTTCAATTTTTTATTGTGAGGAACCTCCATACTCTTTTCCACAGTCTCTGTCCCAGTTAGCATTCCCAAAATCAGTACACAAAGCGTTCTCTTTTTTACAAATCCTCAACAACACTTCTTGCTTCTTGTCTTGTTGATAGTGGCTATTCTCACAGGTATGAAATGATACCTTCTTTTGTGGTTTTGATTTGAGTTTTGCTGATGATTCATGGCATCAAGTACATTTTCGTGTACCAATTGGTCATTTGTACCTTTAATATTTTTAATGTTCTTATTATTTTTTTGAGAGAGAGAGCCTAGGGAGTGGCAGAGAGAAGGAGACAGAGGATCCAAAGCAGGCTCCACACTGACACCAGGGAGAAGATGAGATTCAATCTCATGAATCTTGAGATCGTGACATGAGCTGAAGTTGGATGCATATCCCACTAAGTCACCCATGTGCCCCTGTACTTTTTCTTTGGAAAATATTTATTTAGTTCCTCTGCCCATTTCTGAATTGATTGTGGGTGGGTTTTTGTGTTTTGTTTGCTATTGATTTATATAAGTAGTTTATATATTTTGGATATTAACACCTTATCAGATATATGCTTTGCAAAACAAAATATCATCTCATACCTATTAGAATGGCTAGTCTATTCAAATGTGCAGCCACCAATGAAAGGCTGCAAGAATCATAAGAATAAGGAAACATGGCTCTACCAAAGGAATAAAGGAAACCTCTAGTATCTAGCCCCAAAGAAATGGATATCCAGGTTTTGCCTGACAATTCGAAATACATTGTTCTGAAGATGCTCAGGGAACTACAGAGCAACATAGATAAAAGATTTAATGATATCGGAAAAACAATCCAAAACCAAAATGAGAATTTCAATAAAGAGCTAGAAAACATAAAAAATAAATTCTGAAGCTAAAGCCTTCAATGAATTAACTGAAGAATCCAATGGAGAACAGTAGTAGAAGATCTGGGTGAGAGTGTCTGAAGAAGCAGATATGTCTTTCAGGCTTTATGGACTGACTTCAATAAAGGAAGATTTTCACCTACAAGTCGGCCATCCTGGAGCATGTTTTGACCCTGGGGCTAGTGGTGCAGGACATCAAATGAGGGAGTACTGGGTCTGGTGGGGCTCTATGTCTCTTTGATTGGGGCAGCTGGGGTCCACAGCATTGACAACTGTTGAAGAGCACTTCAGAATCTCTGTAGTAGCTGCAACGATCTTCAGGGTCCTCACTGGCACCTCCAGGTCCAGAAGCTAAGGCCCAAGTCAGGCAACGGTGATGACTGGAGCCAATGATGTGCATAGGCTTAACTGGGGGTCCAATTGCAGGTTCTTGTGTGGTGGCAGAGGCCAGTTGCAAGCACACGTGTAGTGGTGGGATCATGCACAGAGCAGAATCAGGGTCAATTCCATACTTTACTGGCAGATTCAGGGGCTCCGGCTAAGGTTTTGTTCCCATGACTGCAGTCTTCCCCCAGGCATGTACACCTCAGTGGAGGCCAGTGATGGGTGTAGGAATATGGGTGGAGGGACTAGCTGCAGGTGAGTTCATGTTAATGACTTAAGGCATGATCCAGGCCTAGAGGCACCTTTAAGGGTCCCTGGCTATCAGCATGTTCCCTGTGACTGCACAGTCTCCCCTCAGGTGTGCACAGTACACTGGAGACCAGCAAAGGGCGTCCAGCTGGCAGCATGCAAGTGTACAGCTGTACAGGTTAGGCCCGAGCACATAACAGGAGAAGAGTCCACTGCAGGGGTATAGCCTGGCTTCTTGCAATCTTGCAGCTGCAAAGGGTTGAGTTGGCTGCTGGTGCATTTCCAGTCTTCAGCGGGGGTGGTGGTAGACGCAGGGAACAGAGAGGATCACGAGGCGCAGAAGCCAGGGAACACACATTCCTGTGAGGTGACAACTATTGAAATACACAGGGAGTCCTCAGTGGCTATGCTGGGTGACAGTATTTTCATTGGTGAATCTCCTGGATTTGTCTCGAAAGCAGGTCGTCATGAACTGTAATGGCTCCCCCTGATTGGCTGCCATTGGTAGTCCCTAGCTTTCTTTCTTGTTCCTTGCCATCTTTATACATCTCTGCTTTGCCAGTGTAGGTGAGGTAAAACTGAATTGAAACCTTGGTGTGTTGCCCTGAAAAGCTGGGGGGAGGATGATTGCTCATCATATACATCTTCTCCTGATCAAGGGAATTTTTTGCAGCTGGTAAACTTCCTCCTGGCGCTGGGCAGTCAGTGGCAGCTTTGGGGATCGGACGATGTAGGGGAATGAAGTTATTTTCCTTTTCTTCTCGTATGGTTATTCTCTGGTTTTTGGTTTCACTGTGTTGCTAACGTTTCTTCAGTGGACTCCAGAGGTCTCACAGTGCTGTTTTCTTCATGGAAAGCTGTATAATTGTTGACCTTTTGGAGGGATGATGGCTGGGTCCCCTATGTTGTCATGTCGACACCATCACTCCACAAAATGACTTTTGAGTTAAGATACCCAACTCAATCTTGGGCAACTATCTTAGCTTTTCATAGCTTTCATTTCATTTTTTTAATAAAAAACATGGAAACATTACTCTCACATAGATTGTTGTGAAGGTTAATGAGATAATTACTACAGTGCCTGGGAAAGTGCACAAGCTTGGCAGGCAGTAATAGTAGCTGATTATTATTATTATTATTAATGAAATACTGAGCCTCATACTCATGCCTATTCTCATCTCACCCAGTAGTTCTTGGGCTCTCTAACTTTCTAACTCTGTCCACCTGTATTCCTGAACAAGATTCTCCTGACTGACTGCCTACTTCTAATCTCATCTGTTTTCAATTCCTCATAGAGTTATTTTAAAACACAAATCTGATCATGGGAGTTCTGTGCTTAAGGAAAGGAATCGTCATGTCACTAATCCTCATGGGCACCAGTATTCATACAGCATGCTTAATATGGTCACATCATTGCCCTCCTTCATTACAAGCCTGGAAAGAAATTTTTTCCATTTTTATATTGAGCGATGAAGATACCAACATTTAGATACATTAAGCATAGATTACCATAAGAATGGCAGATGTGAGATAATAAAAATGTAGAACTTGCCAATGATTGCAGGCTAAAGGGCAAATTCCTTAGAAAAATATAGATGGTGTCTCTTAATCTGAACCTTATTTTTTTAAACTTTTTTTTAACATTTATTTATTTTTGAGAGATAGAGCACAAGTGGGGGAGAGGCAGAGAGAGAAGGAGATGTAGAAGCTGAAACATGAGCCTCATTTGCTTGTTACCATCCCCTCTAGCCACTTATGGCCCTGGAAGAATTCCAAGGGTAACTGTGTGCTTGCAAATGCCACTTTTCCTGAAATCGTGTCCTTCCAACCTTTTTAAGTGAATACAATCTATTTATTCTTTTAAGATCCCGTTTCAAGAGACCCCTCTTTGAAGGTTCCCTGGAATCACACAGAACTATTCTTTATGGCTAAACATATCCTATAGGTTGCATATATAGAACTACAATTATTCTAACTCATGCTACAATTGTGGGCTTGTGTCTCTGCCTCTTCCATAAAACTATGCGACCCCAGGGACTAGAATAGTGACCAAACTTGAGAGTATCTCAATAAATATGTGATGAAGGAATCAACAAAAGAATAAATGAAAACTACAGAAAACTAAACTAGGCCCAGAGTTCCCCTGAGATTTACCCAGGGGGTTCTAACATTGGGAAATGTGAAATTATGACCTGCATACTTGGATTTTCTAATTGAGAAATGAAGCTTACCAAAAAGAAAATAATAATAATAAATAATCTATAAGGTAAAATAAAATAATTCAATGAGTACAGGCATTATTTTGTTATGGTTGCAATGTAGTTTTAATTCATAGCTTCATTGCATAGATGACTAATTATTATATTATAAATTTCTCCAAATATTGTAAAGCAACTAATTAAAAAATAAGTCCACAAATTCATAATTTAAGAAATCTTTTTGTGAGCTGTATTTATAACTAGACACTGTAATAAAGTTAACTAAACTATAACTAAAGGAAATATTAACATACAGTGTATTCCTAAACATAGGTGGAAAATATATGAAAAGAATAATGGTGATTATCAAGACGTTCATGGAAGTAGATTTAGAGGAAGAAAGAGCTCAGAACTTGGAAAAGCTGGGAAGGAAGGTCTCATAGCAGCATCTGAATCTGATAGGATTGGTCACTTCTCCTTCTGAAAGCTTCTAAGAACTTTTGCAGTCCCCTTTTTAAAGTAAAGTGTTTGGAAGACCCTAGAATCTGCCACTCTGCCCTCCTTGGACCTTACCTTAATCTTGTGTGCATGGTGCACCAGCTAAGCATTTCATCCTCATAGCTAAAAAATCAATTTATCCAGTCTGCAAAGAATAACAAGTGAATTAAGTGTTTCTTTTTCCTCAACAAAAGTAGGTCAATCTTCCTAGGCTGGAGGATAGAGAGTAGATCAAACACCAAGGGCAGGAGCTAATCTCTGTAGATACAAGTTGAGTTAGGAGAATAGACTTAAATAGTCTTTAAGAAAATTGACTTTATTTTCCTCCAAAATCATCTTTGTGGTAAATGGAAATGCATGCATATTCATCCATATACATACATATTAATAAACACACTTTCATCTGCTGACTCATACCTGGATTCCTAATATTGGTGCATGTATCCTAAATATCAAGTTAAATCCATAATTTTCATTTATAAAGAACTCATGTTTTCAGATTTAGTTTAATTTGACAGCATACATTTACCTCAGTGTCTTTAAAAAATTTTTTATTCATTTATTTTTTTTTGCCAATTCTGTGTTCTTTCTGGAAATAATGAGAGATCATGGTAGTCTTGTGGGGAAGTGATTTGGCTCTCAGTGACAGAGAGAAAGTAAATGAGCTGAGTGGATAGAACAGGAAGTAGTCAAAGACTCAGCCTGACAGGGTATTAATCAGAAGGTGTTTCCTCCTGCCCATGCCAATTTATAATGATAATGATGTAACTGATCCGTTTATTATATTTTAATGCCATGCTCTTTTTTTTTTTTTTTGCCTTCACTGTTTTCCTTTTTATCCATGATGACTTCATGTAGAATTTTCACGCTGTGTGCTTTAATATAATATGATATTTTAGTTACTAGCACTTCTTGAGTTGATAGTACAGAATCGATAAGTAAGATAAATTGAAGAGGAAAAATTAAATACTCTTGTCTGTGTTAAGCAAAAAGTGGTTTCTAAAATAAAAGACAGAACTAAAGAAATATAAAAATATGGGAAGAAAGAAGGCAGTCGTTTGACATTGGTTCAAATAAGTGAGTTAGCGTGTTTATCCCAGGGGCAGGTAGATACAATGAAGCTTGAAATAGACCATGATCGCTAGAGCTAAAATGCAAGCATACTTCCTATCCCTCTTAATCACAGAAACCAATACCGTTCTCCCAAGTTAGACTTAATAGACCTCTTAGTAAATTCAAACAATCAAAACTCATGTTGCAGTTGTTTGATGAGAGAGAATAGTAAGAAGCTGATGCAGATATTGTTGATATTGGAGTTATTTGCCAAAAACTGATACGGAGTTTCTGCATCATCTCTACAGGTGCTGTTAATGAGGCTTGACATATGCGAAGACAAAAATTCTCTATCAGAAAAACGTGGTATTTCAAATTGCATATCCACCATCTTGCATATACCGCGGACTTTAACGCTTTCGCTCTTAGCATCGGATTACTGGAATGGTGGTGAATTTCAGACAATGGGTATCATTTCACACATAAGTGTCTTCACATTTACACCACATCAGTAAATACAAGGCATTGAAATCTTCAGTGCTCCTCATTAGCCATCAGAGGCATCATGAATTAGACATATTTTTATGTCTAAAAGACTCCACTCTTTGCTGTGGAGGTCAAATTTAACCATTTAAGTTGTAGTAACAGAGCAGTCACTATCAGCTGACAGTGAGATAAAGTTCATTTGCTACTTCGAGCCTGTGGTAAGTACTCCTTGAGATCTAGCACTGCTGTCTCATGATATTGATCCTGCTGCTGCTAACAGCACCCATAGTTCATTCAACTTCTGTTTTATTAACAGGTACTAAGATAAGCTAAAAGTATTACAAAAATAACATGGCTGTTTGCCTTATGGAATTTATAAATCTTACTAAACAGAAATAATAGATGTGCATTTGGTTGCTCAAAATATCATAAGACAAATAATAAAATAAAATAAAATAGCTACTGCAATGTCATTTTTCAAGTGGCCAAAGAGAAGGAAAGTCATAATACCTACTCTAAGGCACATAATTCTCATCTAAAAAAATCATCTAACACTTCCTTGAATTAAATATACAAATTCCTAGAAAGTCACAACTACCAAAGCTGACACATGAAGAAATAGAAAATCTAAATTGAGATATAACAAGTAAGAAGATCAAACTGGTCATTTTATTTTTTTTAATTTTTTAAATGTTTTATTTATTTCTGAGAGAGAGAGAGAGAGACAGCGTGAGCAGGAGAGGGTCATAGAGAGAGGGAGATACAGAATTTGAAACAGGCTCCGGGCTCTGAGCTAGCTGTCAGAACAGAGCCCTACATGGGGCTTGAACCCACAAACAGTGAGATCATGACCTGAGCCGAAGTCAGATATTTAACCGACTGAGTCACCCAGGCGCCCCCAAAGTGGTCATTTTAAAACCTTCCAGAACTAGATGACTTCATTTGCAATGTTTAGCAAATTTAAAGATGAATTAATACCAATTCTTCACAAATACTTCCAAAAAATAGAAAAAAGAGGGCTTAATTCTCAACTTATGCTATAAATGAGTATTGGTATTAACCATACCAAAACCAGGGAAAGATATCACAAGAAAAGAAAGCTATAGACTGATATTTCTTATAAATGGAAAAATTCCCTACAAAATATTTACAACCATAATTTAGGCAACATATTAAAAATATGCAAATAATCAAGTGGGATTTATTTCAAGTATGCAAGGTTGATATAACATCTAAAAATCAATCATTATAACAAACCAAATTAATATATTAAAGAACATATATAAAGCCATCATCAATAAATGAAAGAAAAGCATTTGACAAAATTTGACACTCAACAAACAGATAATAGAAGGGAACTTTCTCAACCTGATAAAGGGCATCTATGGAAAATGCACACGTAATATACTTAATGGTCAAAAACTTAGTATTTTCCCCATAGTTTAGAAGCAAGATGTCCATTCCCACATTCTTATTAAATATTGTACTGGAGTTTCTATCCAAAGCAAATAGGAAAGGAAAAAACAAAATAAACAAAACAAACAAAAACATTCAGTTTGGAAATAAATAAGCACACTCTATTAATAAACGGTATGATCTGCATAAAAAAATTTGTTTTATAAAAATCCTTTAAAAACACATTAGAACCAATAAATGAGTTCAGAATGGGGGCAAAATACAAGATAAGCAGGAGACTCTCATAAATAGAAGAAAATAAAATGATCAAATGTTAGCAATTCAAAATTGTCAATAGATGTAAAAACAAAACAAAACAAAAACAAATTTATTATGATTAAGCAGAGTTAACCTGAGGGATTCAAGATTACTCTGATTCAAGGTTAGTTAGGTCTGTGTCTCCCTCTCTCTCTCTGCCCCTCGGCTGCTCATGCTCTCTCTCTCTCTTTCAAAAATAAGTAAACATTTAAAAAAATTAAAAAACACTGCATTTGAAAAAATTCAACATACATTCATGACCCCCCAAAAAACTATAAATACCAAATACATTTTCAGCCAGATTTTTAAAAATGTCATCTATAGAAAAAATAACTATCAGTTAAAATCATGATTCCATACTCAGGTCAGAGATAAGGCAAGAATTTGTATTCTTGACTCTTTATTTCAATATCAGTTGTTCTAGGCAGTTTAATAAGGTATGTCAAAAAAGCATTCACATAGAAAAACAAAAACTGAAACTCTCTTTATTCACAGATGATGGCTTGTCCAAGTAGAAAATGCTAAGGAATTTATTTAAAAGCTCCTAGATATAATAAGCGAGTTTAGGGGATGTATAAATTTTTCCTGTTGCATAGCAAATTATCACAAAGTTAGTAGCTTAAAAAACAAACCGTTATTATACCACAGCTTACTTTAAGTCAGGAGTGCAAGCATGAGTTCTCAGGGATTTTTGTGTAGGGTTTCACAAGGCTGCAAAAATCCAGTGCTGGATTCCTATCTGGGGGAAACATCCACTTCTCCAACCATGTGATTGTTCACAGCATTCCATTTCTGGTAGCTGACAGATTTGTGGCAGCTGGCTTGTTCTAAGCTAGGAAGGGAGAGAGAGAGACTACACTGAGTCAGCTAGCAAAACAATCTTAACTAATAAAACATGATCATGGTAGTGACACCCACCATTTTTGCTATATCCTTTTATTTAAAAGTAACTCATAGGTCCCACCTAGTCCAGAAAACCAGAAATAATTTTCAGCCAGTCTTCTCAAGAATCCTTAAAATGATAACTTATGAAAAGAACCAATGTCTTGATATATTACCAGAACTCCCTAAAGAAGAAATAGATAAACTGAACAGTCCTGCATCTGTTAAAGGAATTCAATTTATAGTTAAGTTTTTCCCCAAAGACAACTCCAGGACCAGCTGGAACCACTGGAGAATTCTACCAATCATTTAGGAAAGGAATAATGTTCATCTTACACAAATTCTTTCAGAAAATACAGAAAAAGATAACATTTTCCAACATTTTATGAGGCCAGCATAAACCTAACAATAAAACCAGAAAATGATATTACTTTAAGAAAACTTCAGGCCAATAGTCTATTTTGGCATGAAAGCAAAAATAATCAACACAATATTGAAAATAAAATGTAGACATTTATAGAAGTGATAATATATAATAAACAAACAGAATTTATGTAACGTAAGAGTTCAATTTTCAAAAATCAAACAAATTACAGCTTCTGCACAGCCAAGGAAACAACCCAGAAAATTAATAGGCAACCAACGGAATGGGAAAAGATAGTTGCAAATGACATATCAGATAAAGGGTTAATATCCAGAATCTATAAGGAACTCACCAAACTACACGCCCGAAAAACAAACAACCCAGTGAAGAAATGGGCAGAAGACATGAACAGACACTTCTCCAAAGAGGACATCCAGATGGCCAACAGACACATGAAACGATGCTCAGCATCCCTCCTCATCAGGGAAATACAAATCAAAACCACACTGAGATACCACCTCACGCCAGTCAGTGTGGCTAAAATGAGCCAATCAGAGGACTCTAGATGCTGGTGAGGATGTGGAGAAACGGGCACTCTCTTACACTGTTGGTGGGAATGTAAACTGGTACAGCCCCTCTGGAAAACAGTGTGGAGGTTCCTCAGGAAACTAACAATAGAACTCCCCTAGGACCCAGCAATAGCGCTGCTAGGAATTTACCCAAGGGATACAGAAATGCTGAGGCATAGGAACACATGTACCCCAATGTTCATAGCAGCACTCTCCACAATAGCTAAAACATGGAAAGAGCCTAAGTGTCCATCAACAGACGAATGGATCAAGAAGATGTGGTTTATCTATACCATGGAATACTACATGGCGATGAGAAACAATGAAATCTGGCCATGTGTAGCAACATGGATGGACCTTGAGGGTGTTATGCTGAGCGAAATAAGTCAGGCAGAGAAGGACAAATATCATATGTTTGCACGTATAGGAGGATTAGGAGGAACTTGACGGAGGAACAAGCGGGAGAAGAAGGGCGGAAATGGTGGGGGAAAGGGAGAGAGGCAAACCATGAGAGACTCTTGAATGCTGACAAAAACTGAGGACTGATGGATGTGGGGGGGGAGGGGGGGTGGGCATGGAGGAGGGCACTTTGGGGATGAGCACTGAGTGTTATGTGGAAACTAATTTGACAATAAACTATTTGTAAAAAAAAAAAAATCAAACAAATTACTACAAACTAAAAAAGAAAAATCAGAGTATCCCAAGAGGTACAAAAAAAAGACATTTGATAAAAGTCAGAATGCCATTAATGACAAACATTTTCAGCAAATTAGGGATAGAAGAAAGTTCCTTGATGTGCTAAAAGACATCTATGGAAACTTCCATCTGACATCATACTCAATAGTGAAAATTTAAATCTGTTGCCTTAAAGATCAGAATAAGAGCAAGGGCATTTCTTTTCACCACTTTTATTTCACATTTTTACTGAAGGTTCTGCTGTATTAAGATACAAACTAGAACTAAGAGGCATAAAGTTAAAGAAGAAAAACTGTCTTTATTTTCAGATGACATGATTGCACTCATAAAACACCAAAAAAAAAAAAAAAAGTTGACAAATAACCAATAGAGCTATGTTAACTTAGCAAGATTGTAGGGTAGAGGGACAATAAAAAACATCAACTGCATTTCTAAATATTAGCAACAAAATTTCAGAAAATGAAAAAGCATAAGAAACATTAAACATTGAGGAATGATTCTAATAAAATCTCTACTAGGCCTCTGCCTTAAAAACTATAAAACATTGCTGAGAGAAATTTTAAAAGGGTTTAAAATGGAAGGATATATAAAATATGTGTATATATTTATATATGATATATAAATATATACGTATGCATGATTTATACAGTTATAAACATTAATATATTATGTGTATATTAAATATATATAACTATATTTCTAAATATATTTGTTTTATGAATATATAAATATGTACCTATAAACTATATATATATATATATATATATATATATGCCATATTTATGGAACAGAAGACTCAGTACGGTTAAGATGCCTATTTTTCCTAGAAAATATGGTTCAGTTCTAAAATTTATGTGGAACTGCAAAGACTCTAGAATAGCTAAAATGTTCTAGAATGAGAACCAAGCTGGAGAATTATGCTTCTTGAATTCAAAACTGACCTTAAAATCACATCAATCCAGACAGTGAGATATTTATAGAAGGACAATTAGATTACCAGAAGAGCATAAAGTACAGAAATAGGTCCACAGATCAGTCATCAACACTTACAGCTGATCACTGAAGCTGTAACCCCATTTTATCCTATGTAGTTGATATCTCAATACAACAAAAGGAGAAAAAAAAAAATCCAAGTGAGAAATAGCGAGTACCTGAAGTAGGTCAGTTATTACTATCCTTAGTTCTGTGGTTTCAGCGACTATTTTGTAATTTTCCTTCGATTTCTTCCATGACTGGTAAACCTACTTGAAGTCTGTCCCAAAGTAACATCCATAGTCATCTTCTGAAAAGCATGTCCATGTCTTCTCCCTGCCTTCAGGATGATTCCCAAATCAGTAAGTAACATGATTTCCTGATCTGAGCTCTTCCTCTCTTTCCAGGCACCCCACCCCCACCAATTTCTTTTACTGTGTCTATATTCAAGTCGTTGACTTTCTTGTTATATGCTGTGCTGCCCCATGTTTTCACCCCTCCCAATCTGCATTATCAGTGTTAATTTCATTCTGTTTCCCTAGCACAGTGTCCAGTACCTAATAAATGCATCCTCAATGCTTTCCTCAATTATGAAACTCTCTGCCCAACAAAGCCCTGGGGTATAGATAAACCCTGATATTGAATCTTCTTCCCTTTAATCATGTCCTACATCAGTGTTATACATCCAGGCAAGTAAACCGATCAGACCCAGCTTCGTACCTGCCTGGATCTCTTTTTCACCCTTTTGAGGTTCTGGTTCTGAGGATCTAGGAGTATGAAACCCAGACTTCGTTTCTACTGATAAACCAATATTCCACCGTTTATGACCAGCACCTACTTATTTGTAGCTCTCTCTCTAAACATCTGGAAATTGACTCCCAGTATAAAAATATAAAGCAGGGAGTTGGGAGGGGAAGCAATGAAATATGGCTTTTATGCAACTTACAATTATAAAAAAGTACTAAGACATGGGGTAAATTTTGACTGCGTGAAATTCCTTTTCCTGCCAAAAATTCCGTCACTCAATTTTATCCATTTTGCTACCCATGTCAAGCTGCCTTTAAAATCTCAGTTCAGATGCCTCTTTTTCCAGGAAGGTTCCTACCCCACCTCTGTATTAGGCTGGGTGCCCCTTCACAGTCCTGTAGCCGTGCCTTAGAATCAGAGCCTCTATCTGTCTCATTCTACTGTAATCGTCTCCTCTTCTGCCTTCCTTACTGGACTGTAAAGTTCTCCAGGACGGGGATTCTGTCTTCTTTATCTCTGTATTCCACTGCCCAACACAGAACGTGGTGCATAGAAAACATTCGATAAAGCCATATGCTAAGTTATTGTTTGAAATAGTAATGATTGCAGGCAGTCTGATTGCTTGGACAGAATTTTTACACACTTCCTGGAAGTGATAACACTAATCAGGCTTACCTGGGTCATTGCTGACATACCTAACACTCAGAGAAAGATTGTACATAACAGTCATGATGCACACATTAAAGAAATAGTTGCCTACAAAAAAAACCCATCTCTTTACTTGTAAGATTTTCAGGGTCATCCCATAAGTCAATTTATACGCATTTCTAATTAGGTTTTCTAATAAAAATAGGTGATTTTTGAGTTTCTGCTCTTATTTTTAAATACATCGATTGCCTTAATATCTTGAGATAGCCCTCCTATGTAATCCCCAGTAATGCAACGATCTATTGCTTCCAGTTATGATGTTCAAAAATGTAATTGCAAATATTGAAAAAGAAATAAAACTCTGAATACCACACTATATTTATTTCAAATTCCCCTGTTTGTCTCATTCCAGGGATTATACTGCTTAAAGTCTCCTAAATAGTCTTTCCTCATTTCCTCTGCCAAGGTCTGTAAGGTAAGGGTTTGATTTGTACTTGTCAAATTCTGAATTTCTTCCAGTACTGTTAGTACTATTTCAATAGATGCCTTCTCCTTAATTCATCCTTCTTCGTATGCTTAAGCTCTCTGACCTGGCATGAATTTACCATCCCTATATCAAGGCAGTTTGCTGTGTCAGATACAAATCCAGGAATATTGAATGCGCTTCACAGGATAAACATTTAGGAAAGAATTGTTTGCATAAAACTTTATTTTATGACGGAGATGCTCCGATTTTATATTCTCCTTTCTGCACGTTTCCCCAGGACTCACCCGCACAACCCCCTACTGCAAATCCTATTAAAGGAAAAGTGAGAAATGCATGCAAAGAAACACAGGGGTTGTTATAACAAAATACCATAGACTTATAAACCATGGAAGTTTATTTCTCACCATTTTGGAGGCTGAAAATCCAAGTTCAAGACCCGGGTAGATTCAGTGTCTAGTCAAGAGCTACTGCCTAAATAGTAACTGGCAGTTTTTTCCACATAACCTCACATGGCCGAAGGAGCAAGGGAGCTCTCTGAAGACTCTCTTTAATTTTTTTTTCCTGAGGTCTCTTTTATGAAGACACGAATCCCATAATGTGGGTACCACTTTCATGAATCAATTACCTCCCAAAGTGTCCACCTCCAATAATATAATTTAGGGATTAAGTTTGAATGAATGAATTCTGTCAGTGGGGCAGGGGGAGGGTGGTGAACAAAAACATCAGGTCGACGGCAATTGCTAACTGCGAGTGTGTGTGGAGCCATACTCAGACTTGTTAATTTCACAAGATGATTCCTACTTGGTTGTCGTTATCCAGTCTGTAATTATATACTGAAAATAACCAATAATTGATTAGGCATAAGTCAATTTCTCTTAATTTATTTTGTTTTGCTTTTGCATCACTCTTCCTTACTTGAAAACTTTATGTAAAACAATATACCTGTTAAATACTTGAAAATTAGCAAAAAAAACTTCTCCTTTTATGTTAAATACCTATAAATCTGCTATATACAATCATTAATGCTACATTATAGAATATTTCATATGTATATATGATATTGCATTATATATATACACACACATATATTATATATGTGTGTGTATATATATATATATATAACTAAATTTTAATCAAATAACTTTAGGAATTTTCATGTGCCATTAAAACATTCTACCTTTGTATCATTTGGCATTTAGATTCTTTGTATAAAGGTCTGTGGTTATAAATAAGTACATATATCTATCTTGTTTTGTAGTAGTGCTTTAGAATATGTCTGTAGATATGAAATTAGCACATCACAGATTAAGAACACATAAAGATCAGGGCATCTGCATGGCTCAGTCAGTTAGGCATCCAAATTTGGCTCAGGTCATGATCTCAGGGTTCGTGAGTTCTAGTCCCACGTTGGGCTATGGGCTGAGAGCTTAGAGCCTGGAGTCTGCTTCGGATTCTGTGCCTCTCTCTCTCTTTGCCCCTCTCCCACTCAGGCTCTGTTTCTCTCTGTCTCTCAAAAATAAATAAACATTAAAGAAAACCACACATTAAAGATCTTTCATATATACCGATAGATGGATTTTAAGAATACATCTGACTGTCTCTTGGTCTGACTAGTTTTGTTTTTGAGTCACATCCTGCACATCCTGATCATCGCTTCTGAGGAGCATGAAAATTTCAATAAGAAGGAATCATGACCCACTTTTTACCCTTGTTCATTGGAATCATGTTGTAGGATATCAGGAAGCTACCGACAATATCCTTGGCTGGACAGAGGTTTGCAAGGACCACATTATTCTTGAGGGGACAACAATGGTCCTGCATATACAGGACAAAGCAGTGCGAAGGATGCAGACAGGTCTGAGTTCTCATAGACGTGATATTTCCTAATGATGTAACTTGTACAAATTCTGGGAGATTTGGGACCCCCATTCATAAAATGAAAATTCGTTTCCACTCATTGATTCATTCATCCATTCAATCATTTACTCAGAAATATGTGTTAAGTTGACTGTGTGTTCCAGGCACTCTTGGAGGTGCTAGAAATGGAATAGTAAACAAAACACTGAAATGTCTTGTACCCATGGAGGTTACATTGCATTGGGAGAGCTAGACATCCCCCCCCCCAAAAAAAGGAAACAAATAAGAAATAGAATGCCATGAAGGAAAATTTAAGGGTGAAGAGATAACAAGGCCCAGGGTACTTTTATACAGGGTGTTGAGAGAGGGTAGTTCTGAAGGGTAGGAGGAGCTATGTGAATGGGGTGAGGGAATGAGACTATGGACATATCCATGGTATCTGGTATGCCCACCTCTGCAATTTCAGTTTTGCTTTGGTTGGGATTACTAATAGATAAAACTCTTGGAGTGGGGCACCTGGGTGGCTCAGTTGGTTAAGCATCCGAGTCTTGGTTTTGGCACAGGTCATGATCTCAGGGTCGTGAGATCGAGCCCAGCATCAGTCTCCATGCTGGGGATAGGACCTGCTTGAGATTCAGAAGCTCTTGGAGAAAAAACAATATTCACTTGAAGAATAAGTAACATCATTTTGAAATTAAGGCCTCCATTACGAGCAACCTCGGGCTGCACGTAGCCCCAGTTCCTCAGATTGCTCAAGGCTAAAGCCATCCTTGGACCGCCCTCAGATCAGCTAATCAAAAGACATTCCTGTGGTCTGAGTCAAGGCTGGGAACTGTAGACAGTTACTTTATACAAACTAGCCAATTTCTCACCACTTGCCTGAACCCCACATGGGCCCTTTGAACTCACCTCATAATTGGTCATTTTCAAAGGATTCTCAAAAGTCATGATTGTATGATCATGTATGAACACTGTTCACTATTGTTCAGGGCTTCACCTTGTTGCCACTACACAGGTAGGCAGGTGAGCCCCTGCTCGAGCTTGTAATAAAGACCCTTATGTACTTGCATCGGTGTCGGCTCCTTGGGGGTCTCAGGGGACTCACGAATCGGGCACAACACACTGAAACCACAGGCCTTATGAGAGACTAAGCTTAAACTGGTTGAATATTCCCTCAAGATATTTATTTTCCTTTCTCTGCTCCTGCTCCCCATTTCCAAAAAAGAAATGAAATGAGCTAAGTGGAGAAAATCACCAAGAGTCCAGATTACTCTCCTCAAAAGATATTAGAAAATAAGCTAGAATTCACTACAGATTGATGCACTCCAAACAGGGAAGACAGGGCAGGGAGTGGACCTGGCGCCTGTTCATCTGAATGGGGCTTGTTCACCAGTGAGGGAATGACCTAGAATAAGCAATCTTTCCCTCTGTAACCTCCGCGTTTCACGGTTGCTGTGGAGATTAAGGAAAATACTAAGTCCTGACACACAGTAAATGGCAAAAGTTGGTTGCTACTGTTACTGGTGCGATGGACACATTGGCAGAAGTCTGCATTTCTCACCCTAATGCCTCCTGAGTTCTTTTGTAGTCATGTGGAGAAT